CCCTACAAACATTCACACCTAATTTTATAAAGTTGACGTATAGTAAATTGTTATAAATTTTAGGTAAAATTCAAAAATACTAACATCTCATTAAAGAAATAAGATCAACAAAAGTACAGACCACATTGAGAAAATAATCCCTGACCAACTAGAAAAGGGATTGCTTGAAGAATTCTGTGGGTATTATGACATATTCTGACCTGCAAATTCTAATGCTATAAACCTTTCAAAAGAAAGGCAAGAAATCATTATGATTCAAGGCCACTATGAACAATGCAGAGGTTGTACCTTGTACATGAGTGAGTGGCCAAGAGAGCGCAAATGGGGACTGAAATCCAATTTGTTCTCTACCTTCTAAGCACTGAATGCTCACAGAGGGCAGCATCCACCAAAAACTGGGAGACGAACCTTTTTCTAGCTTTGTAAAAACTAGCTGTGGCCTGGCTATGACACCTCCAAATAACTAACTACTTGTAAGAAAGTTAAGACAATTGAAATACAGAATATTGGTGCCCCTACTTAAAATCGTACCACCACAATATCACTGCTTACTATGTGTTTATTTAGAATGTTTAGGTAAAATCATCAATAGAATAAATCATAAATAGGTTGGGGGAGGAGAGAAGTCATGTAAAAATCTAAAGAGTGATTTAAATATGGCATTTATCTTAATTTGGATTTCTTTGATTAATAACAGGTTATATATTTTTATATGTTTTGATCCTATACTTTTGGATTAGAGACATTTTAAAGCAAAATACTAAAAAATTTGAGAAGCTTAGGAATAAAATGTTCAGAGCCTATTCCTATTAGGCCCTATTCCTATTAGAGAAATAACAGACCTTGTTTTACGTAATACGTAATAAAGTGCTAAAAATGGTGTACTGATTACAAATACTGGTCACTTAAGCATCTTAAATTCACTACAGAAATTAAGTAAGTTTGACGGCAACTGGAAGTAAGATTTTCTAAATTGTGAAACTATGCTTCCTTAAAGCAAGAAATACTATTATTTTAAAATGATATAAATTATTAACCATGATAAATACTCCAAATACTAACTAAAAAGATACTATAACTTCAAAAAATTTTATCAGACCAGTCTATAAAATTTGTTTTTATTTCTAGATATACCAATGAATTGTCACGTGATTTTCAGTGACTCACTTCCTCACTACCTCACTCAATTCTACGAAGTGGAGCAAAAATATAGCTCAAACTCCTACAGAAAATTATGAGAATAAAACCAGAGAGCATCCTCGGCTCCTTACAGATAGGCTCAATATTATTAAAATCACTATTAGAAAAGAGACTTTGTGGGGCGCCTGGGTGGCTCAGTTGGTTAAGCGACTGCCTTCAGCTCAGGTCATGATCCTGGAGTCCCTGGATCAAGTCCCGCGTCAGGTTCCCTGCTCGGCGGGGAGTCTGCTTCTCCCTCTGACCCTCCCCCATCTCATGTGCTCTCTCTCATTCTCTCTCTCTCTCAAATAAATGGATAAAATCTTAAAAAAAAAAAAAAGAAAAGAGACTTTGTAAACTACCCTTATTAAGATTAAAGCCCAACCACACATAACCATTCATTCCCAGATTAATTACACCTACATAAGAGCAATGTCCTGTCTTCACACGGGACATGGAAGAGAAATAAAAGACACAGTTAAAACAAGGTGTGGAAATGAAAATGAGGTTCTAGTCTATCACCACCAACTTACTCTCCATATTAACATTCCCTTCATTTGTAAAATGCAGATATTCCAAAAACTTTTCAGGCCGTCATAATGATTTCCGGAAAAACTGCTTTGCCAATAATTATACCCTGTATAAACATGGATTTTGTCATCAATTCTCTATTTTATGATTCAAATACTACACATAATTGAAAACTTTTAACCTTATTTCATCTGAATCAAACCTATACATAAATGCTGTTGTATCTTTATTTATAAAGATGAATATGATTTGGGATATACCATCATACTCAGAATCAGAAAATTTCTTAATGATTATGGAAAAGAATTCAGAAATGCGGACAGGCATGCAATGGAATTTAGGAATTGGCATTTTTGGTGCTAACATGTAATTGTTCATAAACATAAAATGTATACATTTACCTGCTATATTTTTGCGTGTTTTGATCTTATTTTACATAAATGGAATCACAAATTATGAATTCTTTGTTCCTGGCTTCTTTTGAGAAACGTGTTTGCAAATTTCACCCGTGCAGCATGTAGCTGTACTTCAACCACTTTTATGGTTGAAAAGTACTGCGTTATATGAATAGATCACAATTTTATTTATTCAGTCAACTGTTGATGAACAATGTAATGAGTTTGAAGCTATTACAAATACCGCTGCTACCAATGTTATTAACACATCTCTTAGTGCACATGTTCATGCATTACTCTCAGGGATATACCCATGGAAAGAAATTACTGGGTCAGAGGGTATGCAAATATTAAAGTGTTTCCTAAAGTGGTTGTAATAATATACATTCCCACCAGCAGTGTTTAATGAGTTCTCATAACTTAACATCCTCTCCAAAACTTGTACTGTCCATCTCTTTTTTAATTTTAGCCACTCCAGTGGTTTATGATGAAGCCTCTTCAGTTTTAATTTATATTTCTCATGTTACTAATGAGGTTAAATACATTTTTCTTATGTTTCGTGCATATCTGGATTTCTTTTATGAAGTGTCTTTTCATGTCTCTTGTCATTTTTCTATTGTTTCTGTCATACTGATTTGTAAAAGTGCTTTGAACATTGATACATACATACATTTTGTCTGTTACACATATTGTAAGTATGTTCTTCCACTCTGGCTTCCCTCACTATGCTATTAGTAACTTGACAAGAATAAAATTTCTTTTTTTTTTTTTTAAAGATTTTATTTATTTATTTGACAGAGAGAGAGAGAGAGAGAGATAGCGAGAGCAGGAACACAAGCAGGGGGAGTGGGAGAGGGAGAAGCAGGCTTCCTGACGAGCAGGGAGCCCGATGTGGGACTTGATCCCAGGACCCTGGGATCATGACCTGAGCCGAAGGCAGACGCTAACGACTGAGCCACCCAGGCGCCCGACAAGAATACAATTTCTTAATTTTAAGGTCATAAAATGTATCAACTGTTTTATTTATATTAGTGGATTTTATTTCTTTTAAAGAAATCTTTACCTGTCAGAAGATCATGAACATACTCTTATACTAGCCTCTAAGGTTTATAGTTTAGCCTTTGACACTGAGATGTACAAATTAATCTTAACTTGATTTTTGCCTGTGGTATGGAAGATGAGTCATTTTTTTTCTGTATGGATCACCAATTGTTCTAGTATCATCTGTTAAATAATTCTTTCCCTACTACTCTACAGTGCCAGTTTTGTCATAAAGCATGCATCCATGTACATACACACTGGTCCTCTTCCAGGCTCTTTATTTCTTTTGTTTATCCTTCTGGCATTATTTCATGAAAGTAATTATTGTAGATTTATAAGTTTTGAGGAAAGAAAATCCTTCTGCTTTTGCAATACTACCTAAGCTATTCTTGGGCCAAAAAATTTCCTTCAAAACACAAAATGAAAACAAACTAATAAAAATTTTATAATATTGGTTAGGATTAAATCGAGAATAAGCCTCAAATGTGCATAGATTTTAACATTCAGAAAAATAAAACCTTAATGGGCAACTAAATTAACCCTATATAAAGAATGTTCTGGACCAATGCTGACAAAGCTTTAAAAACAAACAAGAACACCTCAGAAGGATTCAGCTGATACCAAGTAACTTATATGAATACAAACACAAAGCTCACCACTATGTAAAATAATACAAAAAACTTCTTCACTCAACAATCTCACACCACAACGTCCAGCATCCAAACAAAAATTACAGGGAATGGAAAGAAACAGGAAATGTACCCCATACTAAGAAAAGAGTCAATCAATATAAAGATACTCAGGAATGATAAAGTTAATGGAATTAACAGATGAGGGCATTAAAACAATGATTATAAATAAGCTCTAAATGTTAAAACAGGTAAAGGAAAACAGTAACATGATAAGAAGAGAAATGGGAGAAATAAAACTACCAGAGATAAAAAATAATTATCAGAAATAAAAAACACACTGGATGAGAGTAAGAAAAGATAATATATTGCAGAAGAAAAGATCAGTGAACCTAGAAATATGACAATATTAACCATCCAAAAAGAAAAAAGAGAAAAAAAAGTACAAATGCTGTAAGAGACAATATCAAATGTATAAAATTCTCTCCCCCACCTCAAAAAACAAATAACCAACTCTGGGGTCAGATATTTGAAGAAACAGTGCCAGTATTTTTCCAAATTTGGTTAAAAAAACTCAAGGAAACCTAAGAAGGATCTTCTCAAAGAAAACCATACTAAGGCACATCATAATCAAATGACTAAAACACAATCACTGAAAAAGTCTTAGACCAGTCAAAGAAAATAGAAAAATTACATCAGGGTCAGGGGCGGGGTCGTGCAGAGTAAGAAAAACAGCACACTTTGTATCAGAAACTATGTAAGCTATTTCAGAAAGGATTTCACAACGTATTACCAAAGATAAAGAGGGACATCTCAAGATACAGAACCCAATTCATCAAGAAAACAGAAGAAAATTAAATATGCATGCAACTAATATTAGAGCTTCCAAAATACATGAACCAAGAAGTGAAAGGAGAAAGTCCACAATTAAAGCTGAAGATTCCACACTCCTCTCTCAGCAATTACTGAAACAAACAGAAAATCAGAGGGATAAATTTTGAAAGACACTATCAACCAATTTGACCTAATTAACATTTTTAGAAAGTTCTACTCTACAACAGCACAATACACGTTCTTCTTAAGTGCGCACAAAACATTCACTAACACAAATAACATTATGCACTTCATAATAAATACAAAAAATATGTTCTTGGACCACAACATAATTAAATTAAAAACAAAGAGAAACAGGGCGCCTGGGTGGTTCAGTCGGTCAAGCATCTACCTTTGGCTCAGGTCATGATCCCAGGGTCCTGGGATCAAACCCCATGTCCGTCGGGCTCTCTGCTCAGTGGGGAGCCTACTTCTCCCTCTCACCCTGCTTGTGTGAGTTCTCTCTCTCTGTCAAATAAATAAATAAAATCTTAAAAAAAAAATAGAGAAGCATAACTAAAAAATTAGCCAAATATTTGACAATTAAATAGGTCAAAAAAATCACAAAGGAATTTAAGAATTCTTTGAACTCTGTGTAAATGAACACAAAACTTTATAAAAATGCAGAAAAAGGAAAATTTTAACTAATAATTGCTCCTTTAGAAAAAGAAGGAAAATCTCTAATACCAGAACAAAGGAGGGGATATCACTATAAATCCTTCAAACATTAAAAAGAGTAGGGATTATAATATGCAACTTTATGCCAATAAATGACAATTTACCTGAAATGGACAAATTTACTTGAAAGACACAAACAACTAAAGCTTATTTAAGAAGAATTACAATAAATCTGAATAGCCCAAATCAAAGAAATTGAGTTCATAGTTTAAAACCTTCCCAGAGGGACGCCTGGGTGGCTCAGTCGGTTAAGTGTCTGCCTTCAGCTCAGGTCATGATCCCAGGGTTCTGGGATTGAGTCTTGCATCAGGCTCCTTGCTCAGCCTGAAGCCTGCTTCCCCCTCTGCCTGCCACTCCCCCTGCTCGTTCTTTCTCCCTCTGTCAAATAAGTAAATAAAATCTTTAAAAAAAATAATAAAACCTTCCCACAAAGAAACTCCAAACCCAGAGGTCTTCATTAGTGAATTCTACCAAACAATTAAGCAAAAACACCACATGCATGGAAACTTTTCCAGAAGAGGAAATCTTTCCAACTCACTCTTATCCAGATACAAAAGCCAGACAAAACATTGTAAAAAAACTACAAACCAATAGCTACTATGAGCACAGATGAAAAAAAAGTTAACTAAATTTTAGCAAATTAATCCAGCAATATATAAAGTATAACAAGTCATGACCAAGCAGAGATTATCTCAGAAATGCAAGATTCCTTAGTTTGGTATTCAAAAAAAAATCAACATAACTAACTACATTAATAGATAAGAGAGAAAAAAAAAATCTGATCATCTCAATAGATGCAGAAAAACTGTTTGATAAAAATTCAATACCCATTCACAATTAGAAAAAAAATCTCAGCAAGCTATGAATAGAACTTAATCTCAGAAAGGGTATCTGTTAAAAATCTATAGTTAACATAATACTTAGTGGTGAAAAAGTGAATATTTTTGACCTAACATCAGGAGTAAGGCAAGAATGTTAGCTCACCACTTCTATTCAACATTGCACTGGGACTACTAGGCAGTGCAGTAAAGCAAGCAAAAAAATTAAAGGATAAAAAATTTAAGGGAGTCTTTATTCACAGACAAGATGATGGTCTACACAGAACATTTGAAGAACTATAAAAAATGCCACTAGAATGGGGAGCCTGGGTGGTGCAGCTGGTTAAGCATCCGATTCTTGGTTTCGGCTCAGGTGGTGATCTTAGGGTCATGAGATGAAGCCCCATGTCTTACTAAGTACAGTCTCTCCCCCCTCCCTCTGCCCCTCCCACTTGTGCCTCTTTCTGTCTTGCTCTCTCTCTAAAATAAATAAATCTTTTTAAAAAATGTTACTAGAGGGGCGCCTGGGTGGCTCAGACAGTTAAGTGTCTGCCTTTGGTCATGGTCATGGTCCCGGGGTCCTGGGATCGAGCCCCACATTGGGCTCCCTGCTGACCAGGGAGCCTGCTTCTCCCCTCTCCCTCTGCCTGCCATTCCCCCTGGCTTGTACTCTCTCTCTCTGTCAAAAAAAAAAAAAAAAAAAAAAAGTGTTACTAGAACTAATAATGAGCTTGGCAGAATCACAAATTACAAAGTTTAATACAAAAATCAATTATAAGTCTACATACAAACACCTGAAAACTGACTTTCTTTACATTACCACTTACAATAACATAAAAATATAAAATAGAGATCAACTTAACAAAATAGGTGTAATATGTTTATATTGAAAACTCTAAGAAAAACTAAAGACAACAGAGAAAGGTACCAAGTTCATGTATCAGAAGACTCAACATCCTTAGCAGGTCAATTCTCCTCAGTGTAGCCTCTAGGATAAAAGCATTCACAATTGAAATCTCATTAAGTTTTGTAAAAACTGTCAAGCTGATTCTAAAATACATAGAAAGAAATGGAAAGAATGCAGAGTAGAAAAACAATTTTGAAATAGAAGAACAAAGGTGGAGGATGTACACTACCTGATTTTAAGACTTGCTACAAAGCTACGGTAATCATTAAGACAGTGCAGTATTGTCATACATAGATATACAGATCAATAAAATGAAAAAGTCCTAAAAATGACCCACATATAATGATCAGTTGATTTTCCACAAAGGTACCAAGGTAATTCAACAGGGAAAAATACAATATTTTCAAAATTGCTTCTGGAAAAATTTGATTTTCATATGCAAAGAAATAAATCTTATCCCTTACCTCACGCCATATACAAAAGTTAACTCAAAAGTGGATCACACACCTAAAATATAAGAGTCCAATGCAGTTCCAAGACACAAGGGAAAGGAAAAAAGGTAGAAAAAATTTTCCCAATCCCTGTACCAGCCTCCCCAGTTTCTACCCCAAATTAGGGCAGAATTGTAGGGAAAACTCCTAACCTGAAGCTCTTCAGTCAACACATGAATCTATTCAAAAGGAAAGCACTTCCCATCTAAGTACTCACAGTAACTCCTAAGCAAGTAGTTATTAACTCAAACACAACCCTCATAGAAGCCTGCCATGAAGAATAAGACATATGTCTATGGATGCATAGACATAGAGTCCAGTGGAAGCAACATCATAAAGGATTCCTTTAAGTTTAAACAGGACCCAAAATATAACAGCTAAAGTTATGCCCTCAGCCATCCCTGAGGTTCACAGAAGGTGCAGAGTTCTGAACTATGGGCATCAAAATGGCTAAATTCCTATAGTGCTTACCTCAAATCACTTAGTTTTGAACAGTTAGTGGACAAAAGAAATGTAAATAAGATAAAGAGAAAAAACAAATATTCAAAAATTTACAGAACACTAACCAAGGTTTATATTTAAAAATGGGCATTAGACTCTATTATTCCCATCCTGCCTGTGTGTATACAAGTTCTGGACTGAAGGATGCTTTGCTTCAGATGAAAAAATAATGCATTTTCTCCTAGTTCCCCAAACTGAAAGATATCATAAAATGGGCTCTTCCTCTGTCAAAGTTTTAAAAGAAAAATATATAATCATAAGAAACTGGTACCATGGGGTGCCTGAGTGGCTCAGTCTGTTAAGCATCCGACTCTTGATTTCGGCTTAGATCATGATCTCAGGGTTGTGAGATAGAGCCTCACATTGGGCTCTGCACTGGGCGTGGAGCCTGCTTAAGATTCTCTCTCTCTCCCGCTTCCCTCTGCCCCTCCCCAATCCTTCCCTCCCTTCCCCTCTCTCTTCCTTACTCTCTCTCTCCCCCTCCCTCTCAAAAAAATAAAATAAAAATTTAAAAATAAAAAATTTTCAAAAAGAAACTGGTATCAGAATAAAGTACTTTAACAAATAACCCATTTTGTAAGTTAAGTTTTTAATACCACTTAAAAAAATTTACACTTTATGTTAAATAGAACTGTTCTTAAAACAAGTAAAAAAATAAATGTCAAGTACCACTCCCATTTTCTACTGATACCATCATCAAGCACAATCAATATCTAATATTTAAAATGTTAATGTTAACCTAAAACACATAAACTTTTGAAGAGGACTATACATCTTACAAATTGGAACCATTAACCTAGACCATTGTAAGTTTTTAAGTCAAATAGCCTACTCAGGGGCTTTGCAAATATGCACCTATGATTTAAGGTGGCAAATTCAAGTTACAAACATAAGTCTACATTTTTAAAAAATCTCCTAACTCTGCTTAATTTTTTTCTTTGACCCTTCCTAAGGTATTTCAAGAAATATTTGTCCACTTCATCTTTCATCTGAAAATCTTTCTCAGCTTATATCTAACTCATGCCCTCAAATCTGCACTTTCTCCCATCTATTGTCACAGTAAACATGGACTACTTACTTTCGATTTTTTTTTTAAAGATTTTTATTTATTTGACAAAGAGAGACACAGCAAGAGAGGGAACACAAGCCGTGGGAGAGGGAGAAGCAGGCTTCCCACTGAGCAGGGAGCCTGATGCAGGGCTCGATCCCAGAACCCTAGGATCATGACCTGAGCTGAAGGCAGACGCTTAACCAACTGAGCCACCCAGGCAGCCCTCTTTTTTTAAATAAGGGTAAATGATATGGAAGATGAAGTGAGAAAGATGAAAAAGTTAGAATTATCTTAGCAATATCAGACAAAATATACGAGAAACTGTCAGTATACAACAGAATGCACTTCATGTGGACTTTACAAATTTCCTTAATTAATCTACATTAAACCCCAAAATAAACTCCAAAAAGACTACTATTCAAGCTAACAATACAGTCTGATTTTTAAAAAAGGAAAAAATTTCCATTGTGTTTATTTACTTCATAACACAGAAAAATGAAAAATGTCTTACTAGAAATGATGTATCAGCAAAAAAGTGCACTTAATATGATCCTTGCAGAAAATTCTTCTTTGTTCCTTTTTCACAAAATGCAATTCCTAAAGAAAAAAAAATGAGATGGGTTAGCAAGTGTTCTTAACTTTAAAACAGAATTAAATATATATTTTGTCTTTATAAATTCCAACTCTCAACACTATGCCTGGCAGATAGCTCCACAAATACTTGCTGAATAGGAAAATAAATTTTTAAAAGTCATTTGTGGTATTTGCCTAATAAAAACATAATGTTAACCAATGGAAAATTTCTAATGTCACTAATCTGTTTTTTCAGGAAGTATTACTTAAATGTTCAGTAATATTCTATATACTCCTAGATTCACAAATTGGCTTCCTAGGTCCCATCTTCCTACCCTCTATATCACATGATATGCTTTATATTTACCTGGTACACACAGCCTACTGAAAGTACACTTTGCTAAAATAATTGAAAGTATTCACTGTATTATGTTCACATTTAGAAAAGAAAATTGTCAGAGGGTCAGTGATTTGCATTGCCATAAAATATGTTTGTATTCAAATACAATATGTATGCTTATAGCTTTCACTATCTTTTAAAGGTAACAATGAAATGAAAATAATGAACATAAGACCCCCAAAATGAACATAAAACTGATGTCAATCATTCATATTAAAAAAAGGAACATTTGTAAATACTAACCAATGGATCAGTACACAAAGAATAATCCAGTTTGCTTGCAATAGTAGTAAGGCATTTAGGTAAAAAGATGGTAAAAGCGCCCCCCTCACCCCCCACCTTCCTCACCCAGATTGGCCAGGACCAATTATGATGTTAATCCAATAATTTAGAATTGCATGACTGGATAATTCTACCAACTCCCAAGTAAATCTGCCACAACAAATAAAAATGGTAATTTCTCCATGGAAATAAGAGTCTTTTGAATCTGATTCAGCAATATTAATTATTGTGATACTGTAATTTTATTTCTATTTCAAATCAACACCTCTAGAGGGGAGGAAAAAACACAAATTGCCAAATATTCTTTTTGTATTAATGAATTAAGTATTAAAAGCCTGAACTTGAAGACATACAAAAATAAGCTTTTTCTGCAAGGTTAAAAAGACCTTGCTTTAAAAAGCCAATTTCAGCTTTTAATCTAATTAAACTGAAATGTAGAAAAGAAAAAAAGCTCCTTAAATACAGTTTCACTACCAACTTCTAAAAACCAGTAATTCAAAGTGAAACTGTTTTTCATGGGTTCTTGATCTAAACTAAACTCAAAATGTATTTTAATACCAGCTTTGTGTGTCACAGAAGGAATTAAAGTTTAGCAATTTGACGCACAGTAAATAACCAATTAAACACAAATTTGAGGAGCGCCTGGGTGGCTCAGTCAGTTAAGCATCTGCCTTGGGCTGGGGTCCTGATCCCAGGCTCCTGGGATCAAGTCCAGCATCGGCTCCTTGCTCAGGAGGGAGCCTCCTTCTCCCTCAGCCTGCTATTTCCCCTGCTTGTGCACTCCTGCACTCGCTCTCTCTACAAATAAAATCTTAAAAAAATAAATAAATAAACACAAATGTGATACATCCTGGTATATTTTCTTACATCAAAAATTCATTCTCAGTTCTATAAAGGAACTGTTACTGACAACTTGTGTTTTGTACACAGGTACACAGTTCTCAAATAATTTCTAAACAGAAATATTCTAAAAATCAAATTATTTTATAATAATCTATAATGAACCACACTCTCACCTTCAAAATAAAACTAAAATGTTAGTGCTACATCCAGTTATTATTAAATTTCACATATTAAAGATCCAAATCTCATTGCTTCTGTCCAGGCAAGAGCTAAACCACCTGTACCTCCAATTACTATTACTCCCAAATCTGATCCCAACCAACCACCTAGCTAGCTCCCCCTACCTTTTTTTTTTTTAAGAGAGAGAGCATGCACACATATGAGCAAGTGGGTGGGAGGGTAGCAAAGGGTAAGGGAGACAGAGAATCCTAAGCAGGCTCCACACCCAGCGTAGAACCCAAAATGGGCCGATTCCAGCACCCTAATATCATGACCTGAGCCAAAATCAAGAGTCAGACACCCAACCAAGTCACCCAGTCCCTCTACTTCTAATCAATCTACATTGTTGTTAACCTGGACTACAAGCCATTGCCCAAACTGTCAAGCTTTGTAATTCTGTTCAAGTTTTTACCTCTGCTGGAAACAGTGTTCCCCCATCTCTTAAACAATCTTCCCCAGTTAATGGCACCTTCTGGGACAGCAACCTCAAGAATACTCTTACCATCACAATCACTTCCAGGAGGTGGGAGGGGGTGTGTGGGGGGGTAAAATTATACTTAGTTTTGTAAGTATGAGTCTCTTCTATACTTTATGCTTTTTTTAGAAAAAGAACTTCATTCATTTTTATATCCCCAATATGTAGTTAACATCTGGAACAGAATTCAATATAGTCCATTCGGAAAATATTTACTGAGTATCCAATATATTCCAGACATTTTTCTAGGTGCTAGGGATCAGTCCCTATATCTATGACTGACCTCATGAAGCTTACATTCTAGTGGGGGAACCTACATCACACAATGAATAAGGAATGTGTAATATATACAGCAGTTACACAAAGTCCTTAATAAACAAAAAATAGACCAGGGAAGTAAGTACTATCATAGGGGATTAAGATTTGAAAAAGATCTAATGAGATAATAAGAGCAACTATAACAGCAGTATTTACCATATGCTAACCAGTATACTATGCTTTACATGCATCAACAAAGGTAAAGCGAACAATAATCTCACTATTACCCTCAAAAGGAAACTGAAATACTAAGAAGGTTCCTGCCAAGGTCACATAGTTAAGTTAGTAAAGTGGTGAAGCCAGCATTTGAACCCAGACATGCTTTTTTTTTTTTTCTCTTTTTTTTTTTATTCTTATGTTAATCCCCATACATTACATCATTAGATCTAGATGAAGTGTTCCATGATTCATTGTTTGTGCATAACACCCAGTGCTCCATGCAGAATGTGCCCTCCTCAATACCCACCACCAGGCTAACCCATCCGCCCACCCCCCTCCCCTCTAGAACCCTCAGTTTGTTTTTCAGAGTCCATCGTCTCTCATGTCGAACCCAGACATGCTTTTAACAGCTATGCACAACCACAGTTCAGTTCATGCTTTTTTTTTTTTTTTTAAGATTTTATATATTTATTTATTTGAGAGAGAGAGAGGCAGAGGGAGGGGAAGAAGGATAGGAAGAAGCAGATTCCCTGCTGAGCGGGGAGCCCAACATGGGGCTCAATCCCAGGACTCCAAGAACATGACCTGAGTCCTGAGCAGATGCTCAACCAACTGAGCCACTCAGGTGCCCCCAGTTCATGCTTTTGTTAAATGAATTAAATATGTGAAAAACTGAATGCATACTAAAGCAATGGATTCAAAAGACAGAAAAGCAAATCTCAGTCTCAGAGGACTGATACATTTGAGCAGCTTCAGTATATCAATACCTACATATGACATATACCCTGATAAATAACAGGTATCTGCTGTGAACAAAAATGATAAACACAATTTCTCAATAATTTTTAAAATGTTTTAAGTTTCTATATGATAATTAAAGAGAACTAAAAATTACACAAGGCAATATCACAAAAATCACATGGATAGGTCATTTAAAAAAAAAAAACTTTTAAAGAAGTACTCTGAAACAAATGAAAACATTGAAGACACTATCATTTCAATAACAGTTAAATGTCAAATATCACAGTTTATATTGTGGCACAAGTTACTATCAACTTCTAGTTTTCCATATTAACAAGAAGGTTTAAATGAAATGACTGTGATTCAAACTCTTCAAATATCTCAACTACATTTTACGAAGCAAATAGATAACACCTAATACAACTGCTGATGATACCTGAAAACCTGAATGACCCAAGATAATTTGCTCCGTAATGCCGTCTCTTGCTATATTAGCTTGTTAATTATGTGCTTAATCAGTGAATGCCAATAAATTAGAAAGCAAAATGAAACAAAGTGCTCCTGACATGATATTAACATTCCTAGTTTCAAGTCTTAAGGGCCTAAAATCCTAAGCATCTCCACTAGTCTTGATAAAAAACAAAAACAAAAACAAAAAAACCTCAATGTAATCATGAAGAAAATGTCTGCTTTATGTTTGAACTTACCAATTTCACTGGATACCTCTGCCCTGAGCATAATGCAGTGTCAAAGAAAAGAGGTTTCTATATTAAAACAGCTTTTAAAATCAATCCAGATTAAGGGAAAAATTAAACAGGCAAAAAATAAAAAAAACAAACCCCCCTCAAAAAAAAACCAGTCTATAAAAACACAATAAATGGTGCATATTTGCTCAAATATTAATTTCATTTTGTAACCAAAACTTAAGTTTACCAGCAATGGTGTTTTTAATTCAAGGAAGTGTCAGCTCTCACACATGGGCGTCAAACTACTCATGCCTTAAAAAGATTGGTACGAACCATGATATAGTAACTAAGTACCAGACACGATCTCCCAATGAACTCAACTAGAAAACTGATCAGATATATAAAGCTATAATTTTAAAACACGGGACACCAAGCAGCTGAGCACTGTAATACCTGAGAAAAACGAAAGTGTCCCCTACATATTCTGTATGCAGAGTCCAGAGGGTAGTGCAGGAATGGGAAGGCAAGCAGAATATGATGGACTCAGTGAGTAAGAGAGACAGACACTGAAATTTGAGAAGGCTGAGATAATGGGAATTTGTAGAGCAGAGGAGCAGAGAAGATGGACCTCAAGAAGAGAAAGCATTCCTGAAATCTACAGAGAGGTTTCTAGGGCAATTCTGCCCAAAAGAAACAACATGAATCTAAAATGTAATTTTAAATTTTCTAACCACATTTTAAAGGAAAATGAAGCAGGTAAAACTAATTTTAACATAATTCATTTAACCCAATATGCTCAAAATATTATCATTTCAGGATATAATTGATATAAAAAACAGGTATTTACATTCTTTTTTTCCAAAATAAGTTCCTGACATTCAGTGTGTTTTATACTTACAGC